TAAGGTATAGACCTTTTGCTGTTATTTATTAAAAAAGGAAAATGTGTGTTTGCCAAAAGAATATATCATTAGCCTAAGTGTACCAATCAAAACCTTCCTACTTTTAATATTTTCACTTATTATTTGTAAATATGTTCTTTTTCCTGGACTCATATTTCTCACTATACACTTTTAATAGCCACAGATGCAAAAAACCCCCACAAAAAAAGTACACCTCATTTAGTTAATTATGGCAGCCTTGATGGTATACCAACAGAAGGAAGAAATGACAGGCTTATTCATTCCTATTTTTGATCCCAGCATAAAATGAACACAGAAAGGAAGATAAAATAGTGACTAAAATTCTTAGGTTTCCCTTCAACAACCAATCCATTTGCTGAAAAAGTTGACTATAAAAATCTTTTCTACAGCTTAAGTTTTTTACATTAAATAATTAAACATTTTATACTTATCATGAAATTTATATTCTAAAAGTACATAAAGTATATCCATGCAGTCTCATGTGTAATTATAAAGCAATCATCGATTTTTTGAAACCCCCATCCAAGTCCAGAAATAGAAGCCAGCATCGCAAAACCAGAAGAAATCCCTCTTAACTATATATAACCCTATGCCCTTCTTCAGTCACGTGGTTTTAATGTACAATGTATATTTCACAAATTAATTCACTAAAAAATAAAATGTATTGTGAGATGAAGTACTTAAAATTCCTCTACAATGCATTCATAAGAAAACCTTTTTAAACACTGTTAAAAATTTCCTGTGAAAAACATCAGGATTAAGTATATTGATTCATTTAGAATATAAATTATTGAAGTGGCTGGATTTAATTTTGTGGAACACCACACAGGAGGGCCATAAAACACAGATTATTTGCTCCTAGCATTTTCAACAGCTGGCAGTGAGGATGACCAATATTAAATCAAGATGCAAAAACACTAAATTAACAGCCATTTCAACTCAGTACCACCTAAATATATACCTATTTATACTACAAATTAATATATACTACAAATTAACAAATTGATTTCTTTGATTTTTGCTGGATTCTGACAAAATAATAAAAGCTTTGGCAACACTCCTCACTTCCATTCCAATAGAGGATGCTCAAATGACAGGATGAGGAGAACTATGGTCCCTTGCTTGTTGTGCTAGATACTGGTCTACAGGTAACATCAGTGACATGGACTCACATTAAATGACTGTTGGTATTGACTCCTGTTCTAAAACAGTTTGGGTTACAAAATTCTTTACTCACAAAATTAACCACAGAAAGGTTTTAAGGATATGACAATTAAGAGCCTGAAAACAAACTCTAAAATATTAATCTTGATATTATGATGATGTAAATTTTAAATGCTAGAAATAAGGATTTTGAATGTTTTCACTACAATGAAATGATAAATGTTTGAGGCAACAGATATTTCATCCTTATTTAAAAATATACAATCTATACACATATTGAAATATCACTATAGTTTCCCATAAACATATATAATTTCTATGGTTTATGTATGAGTTAAAAAATAAATTTAGCAATATAAAAAAAAAAAGAATCTCCAAATTCCATTAACATGTTTAAGAATCCTTTAGATTAACAATCACTCCTACTCTGGAATGCAGACACGCATAATGGAAAGTAAAGAGAATTCACTTATAATCTAAAACCAAGGCAAACCCCTGCATTAAAGACTCCCTTTCCCTCCACTAATGTCATCCACACATGAGTGGCACTCATTTCTCAATAACAAATGCAAACCTGGGCCATGATTTCATAAGGCTCTATATTAATGTTTTGGGGAACTGGAAAACACACAAATGTATTAAACATCCAATGTCATCTGTTAGGTTCACAAGCAATACAGAATAGCAAATGGTCAGAGAGAAAACACTTGAATCTCCAGATATGCCTCACATAGATTTCCTCAAGCCTCTAATATTGGAATGGCTGTGCAAATTATTTATCAATTTGACAGAATATTATGCAACCATAATATTCTAGAGTGTATATATTCTAGAGTAAAGTTATAAAGCTATATAGCATAGAAGCTTTTATTTATTTATTTATTTAGTTAGTTAGTTTTAGGCTGGCCTGAAACTTGCAGCGATCCTCCTGCCTCAGCCTTCCAAGTGCTGGGATTATAGGTGTGCACCATCATGCCCGGTCAAGATTTTATAATACAGCATAAAATATTTCCAATATATATTTAAATCTTGCTATCACTATAAGGCATTACATACTTGAGCAAAGATGGAACACAGTAAGAAATTAATATTTGGTAAAATTTTGGGCTCTTTCAAGCCTCTGTATGGTTTATAAAATAACTGGAAGGTCAAAAAATGCAATAACTCTTCTCCCTAAAGAACTGTAAAACTATCATCAGCACCTGATTAATCACCTCCTATTTATAATCTACACTAACCACCAAAACTTGCTATATATTATCCCTTTGGGGATGCTTCTGGGCAAGGTCAGAAGGTAGAGGGGAAACAAGGTCCTGTCTGTATTCTGATTAAGGGTGGGGGGTGGAATACACTTTGCAACAAAGTGACAAAGGTATTATAACCAAGAGCATGTTTTACTGCCACCGCAAAGCATTAAACTTAGTATTACCTCTTACAAAAATGAACTGAGTCCAATTTAAGCCCACAAAATTATAAAATACAAGTGTTATATTCTGATAACTTAAGTGACAAAGATTCTATTAATTTGATCAACTTTTCCATACATCAGAAATGACATCTGTGTACAAGTGAGAGAAGCATTTAGATTCAAGGGTATTGGACTATCCAATTTCCCAACAGAGGGATAAGGGCATCTATTACTAGATGGCTGCCTTTAAAGTCTACATGGGTCAAAAGTTCAATAAGGCAATCCTGAAATTACTCTGAAATTATTTGTATTTCTTCAAAAATGCAGAATTAGTTTGGATTCTACTAACATGAATATTAAAGTTGCCCTGAACAATTTGCTTTTTTGCAAAAATTAAAAATAAAAGTCCCCCAATACATATTGAAATGCAAAGGATACAAAATATCCACAATATACCACAAAAAGATCCAGGTTATAAGATGCACTATTTCTGATTTTACAACTTATTACAAAGTTATAGTAATCCTGATAGTGTGTTAGGGCCATAAGGACAGACATATAGATCAAAGGAATAGACCAGAAATAAACTTTCATATTTATAGTCAACTGGGTTTTGCAAAAGGTGGTAATAAGACAAGTTAGTAGGGATGTAACAGTCTTTCTAACTTATGGTGGTGGGACAAGCAAAATGATACTGGACCCCACTTACCATATGTGAAATTAACTCAAAACAGATATTCACACGGAACATAGATTATGTTCAAAGTTCAATAACTATTCTCTATTAATCAAAATTGTGAAATATTAAAAGATATTTTAATTCAAAATGATTCCATTTCAAAAATTGCTTTTACTTTCTACTACTAGTAAACAAATAATTTAGATGACTCAAAATAACATGAGGAGCAGAATAATCAAATTGCGTACAACTTTTATTTTTTTGGTATCGGGGATCGAACTCAGGACCTTGTGCTTGCGAGGCAGGCAGTGGCACCACTGAACTAAATCCCCAGCCCAACTGTGTACAATTTTTAAAACAGATTATACATTAAAGTCCTTTTCCTTGTGGGAGGGGAGACTTAGTTACTCAGCGAATAGTCATAGCTTGGTATAGCTAGCTCTTGGGGTAAGATGTAGCTTCCTAATTTTTTCTGAAACTAAAAATACACTTACCAAACCTTTGTACTCTTGGACATTTATCACAAAAAAGCAAAAACCTACATTCATGCAAAAGCTTGTAAATAAAGTTCATAGCAACTTTAGTTAAAAGAGTAAAAAAGGAAGTAACCCAGATGCCATAGATGGGCCTACTGTTAAATTATGATCTCTACATACCACGGAATACTGCTCAGTAATGAGGTAAAAAAAAAAAAAGATCTGAATGAGTGTGAGATAATGGTGCTGAGTGAGAAAAGGTAATCTAAAAAGTTTATACACTGTAACTCTTTGTGGAAAAGAAATGCTAGAGCTCGAGAGTCCTGTGGCTGCCAGGGGTCAAGAAGGGGCCTACATGGCTACAGGGGGCACCAAGCCAGCCATGTGGCAACAGGGTGGCTCTGTCACTCAATGGGGGGCAGTGACATGCTGCTGGGAACATGGGACATTACTACCCAGAAACCCGAAGGAATGCATGGGGAAACCTGCGAAATCTATATAAGCTCTTATGTCCATTTCTTAGTGCTGATACTGTATAATAGTTATGCAAATGATTAGAACTGGGGGAAAGTGAACGTAGATAGGACTCCCCCATATGCATTCCTTTGCAATTTCTTGTGAATCTATAATTATTTCAAAATAAAATGTTAAAAAAGTATGCTGTCATTTTTTTCAAAATAGAAAATGTCCATTTTGTGGATGTATGGAGATTTATATTTTTGTCAACTGACTGTGGCATGGCAGTTGGCCACAATTCCCTGCACAAAATGATTTTACAGCATATATAAGAAGTTACACATATTTGGTGTCCTTTTACCTAGCCATCTAATTTTTGGGAATCATCTAAAGAAACAGTATCAAATATGGAAAGACATAGGTCAGAGCCAAGCATGTGTGTACACACACATATACACACACACACATTACTACCGTGGAATAGAGAATAGGATAAACCTGGACACAACCTAGATGTCTGAATAGGAACAGTTTTGTCACACCTAGTCATGGGATATTATGCATCCATTGATAATACCAATAATGGTATGGCAATATGACAGAAAATAAACACTGTACAAAAATAAAATAAAATTTATATTAACTCCTAATTATCTCTACCTAAAACATGCACTGAAAAAATAGAAAACTCAAAAATAAAAGATAATATTGTTAGCATGCAAGAATTGAGTATTTTTCTCAAACTTTATAGAGTTGTTGGATTATTTCACAGCTAAAGAAATAAGCATACTTTTACCTTATCCCAGAAATCAACCAAGGCTGTAAAGTCCCACTTCTTCGAATATGCCACATTATATTTCAGAATAGCATCCTATGAAAAAAGCAGAAAGAAAACCTCATGAAATAGCCATGTGGATTATCTTTGAGTAGGCTGTTTTATTATGAACTACTGCCAGTAAATTTCTTAGTGCTGGACAAGCTTCCTTCTACCACTAGCTACATCACATCAGTAGCTACAGACAAATAGAATGCATACTAATTTATTATTCATTTAAGAAAAATGAGATTAGAAAGGTCAAATTACAGGGAAAAAGCATGAATACCCTAAAACATACATTCTAAGTGGGGTGATGCATTCAAAATTGACACAAATTGGCTCTTGGAGGATGAAAAATAACTTAGGAGATAACAATGATTTGTGGACATGGAAAGGGTTATTATCTACATGCTTACACAGAGAAACATATTCTATTTGTAGTACTGAAATTTTGGGTGTGTGTTGTGTGTAGGTGGACAAGAGATTAAGGGAAAATGTTTAAAAAGGCTGTTGGGGTGGAGGGCAAAGAGGAAAAAAACATTAAGAAACACCATTTTCAAGTATAAAATGATTTTTTTCCCCTTATTACCAGCTATTTTTATAAGCTCCGTATAACTAGTTATCTTTCCCCAGCAATTCACACAAATTATAAATTTACACAGGATGAAAAGTCAAAATATTATGCCATCTACTGGTGTAACTTTCAACTGTTTGAATGACCAATAGCATACAACTGATTTCTGGAGTTGGGCATGCAAAAGGCAATCCCTTCATTGTACAGGAAAAATATTTATAATTAGATCTTACCTTATGCTTTAAAATATCTATTTTGATTATATTTTACTATATATGACATCAATAAAGTAATAAGTATGTAGAATATAGAAATATATTGGTAATATAAACTCAAAACTTTTTTTTACTGAAACACACAGTAGTCCGAAACCAATGGAATATTACAATAAACCTTTCAAATTTCTTTTTCATTAGAGAAGTTTTTAAAAAATTAACATTCTGCCAAACAGGTTCCTGAAAAATATTCATGCCAAACAGATCACTGGGTTAAAACTCAAGTTCACAAAATGTATCTTATTCACTTGGAACCAGGGGATATCCAACTTTCTTCAGAAAAGTAAACATTAACCATAAATAACGAGATGAAAATGCTTTTATTTTTCACTCACAAGCCATAAAATAAAATTTCTGTTAAGAAGTAAAAGATTTTAAGGAGTTTTTTTCTAATCACTGGTCTCTGATATCAAAACTGGTATCTGATTTTAAAATAATAAGTAATAAAACTGTATATAATGTAACAAATAGCAATGTGTTGAATAGATGAATAGATAAGCAATGTACACAATGAAGCAAACCATGGATATATTGAAGGACATACGTGAGTCTCAAAAATCTGAGTGAAAGAAGCCAGACATTATAGTACCCATACTGAGACTTCATTAATGTAAACTATAAATTAATCTATTGTGAAAGAGAGCACATCAGTATTGAAGCCAGAGCAAAACTTGAAATTGACTACAAAGGGGTAAGAGGGATCTTTGAGGGTGACAGAGATGTTCTATACCTTGACTGTGATGGGGGCCTTTACAAATGAATCCAAATTTCAAAACGGATCAAATTACAGATTTTGAAAGCATGCACTTTCTTACAAATTATTCCTCAAAGCTGATGAAGAAAAACATCTGAAATAGCATTTGTACTCTAAGTCCTTAATGGCAATTTATACTTAGTATTAACCCCTAATACAGCTAGCTGTCCCACTGTATCTGTGGGGGACAGGTTCACGCTCATCCCCAATCCCGAGGATACCAAGGCTGCTCAAGTCCTTGATGTAAGATGGGATAGCATTTGTGTATAAACATCCTCTCATAGTCTTCGAATTCTCTTTAGAGTACTTATAATAGCTAATTCAATTCAAACACTATGTAAATAGTTGTTACATTGTATTGTTTAAGGGTTAATGACAAGAAGATAGGTCTATGTATGTTTAGCTATACAGTCATAATTTCTTCCCTTCAAATATTTTTGAGTCACTCTTGGTTGAATCCAAAGATGAGGAACCTGTAGATACAAAGGACTGACTGTATTTATTTTTACTTCAGTCTGCAAATCTCAAAAGTAGACCACCATGAGGTCTCCTGCCATTAGAATAAAAGGATGCTTCTTTGTATTCTTAGCTATCAACTATGGAAATTCTTTTTAGTTCATAATACATAATAACATAAAAAGTCCTTTGTGTATAAATTATCAAACATTATTTATAGAAATACTACTTTTGAGAACACTATTCCTTTTTAAAACTTTGAACCTCTTGGATCCCTCTAAATCCAACATCAATTGGCATATGAACAGAAAAAAGATTATTATTTTCAATCAATCAGAGAGATTTAACGTTCTTCCCTTCTCTCATAGCATTCTTTCAGCAGAGGAAACAATTACCATAAGCAGATAGAAGAAAATTTCGATGGACTATTCTGTTTAGTTTCATCTACCATAAGATAAATAAGAAAGGGAAATTCACTTTAAAGCAATTATTGCTTACTAAAGTAATCACGGCAGACTAAGGGATTGCGAGACATGACTACACTGAGTAATTTGAATGCTGTGATTACTTTGTGTTTGTGTTTGAAGAAAAAATAAGAATAATTTTTAAAAGCCAGTTTAGAAGTATAAGAATGTTTCTCAAATGGATCTAGACAGTATTCTTGCCTGGCCTGCTTTGTGTTTCTGAATATGTAGTTTTGTTTTTTGAAAACAAATGAAACATTGTAGGAATGAAGATAATAATTTATGCAGATAAAAATGGTGGAAATATTAAGCCATTCTAGGATACATTGCAGTAAAACTATGTTACATTCGAAAGAATCTGCATCGAAGTGGTCACTACCATTATTTATTGGCAAGGTGTTGATCTCCATAAAGAGCCTATCTATGCACATACCAACACTTCATGATTGTAAGAGGAGTAAATACAAATTAAGTAGTTTTTTTAATATGGTATTTTTTCCCTTTCTTTTCTTTTTGGTGATGGGGATTGAACTGAGGGCCTTGTGCTCTATAAATAAGCACTTTCACCTAGCTACATCCTCAGCTCTTTTACACAGTTATTTAAAAAAATTTTTTTCTGCATACCATTTTGGGGGTTAGATCTGTAGTTTAAAAACATTTGTACAAAAAAAGAAAACTGATTATAAATTTACATTCTAATTGTAAACAAATCAAATGATGGTCCATCATGTTTAAAATGGAAAAATATCAAATTGATAAAGCTGTATTATACTATGAGCATAAGGAGTTTACATTTAGTTTTATATCTGTACATATGTAACTAACATTATATTAAAAATAACTTTGGTAGACCTTGACAATTTTTTCCATTTAGAGAGAAATATTTCCAATGAATGATAAGTTTCAAGTACGAGTAGGAAATACAAAACCAGAGAAAATATCTGTAACAAATTATACCACTGAAAGAAAATGAAACCCATTTTCATGGAAAATTATGTCACTGTTTATACTTTTGTTAAGAATCTCTACGGTTATAGTATTGTCCCCCTCAAATATATCTACTCATGCATGTTTTATATACCAGAAAACAATTTAATAGTTGCTTTTATGGGCTTAAATGAAATACAAAAAAAGTCAAAAAACAAATGACTGCCAATATATATTAAGATTAATAAATTATTAAGTTGCTAGAAGCTATATTAAAAGCAGTAAGAAACAGAATACTTAATGTATACTTTAATCATTAGCAAATCCTGCTTTCCTTTAGGCACATAGAGCTGAAGTCATAATTCTTTCCTGATTTCCTTTTAAAGCCATTTCAGAAACATGATAATTTTTAAACAAAAAAATAAGAGAAGCTTAGAGTGAAGGAAATTGGACAGGGAATCAAGAAACAGAGGTCTTATTCCCAGCTCTCCAAATTATTCTGTGTGGCTCCAGGCTAGTCATTTACAATTTTCAATTCTACTCATTTCCTAGTGATGGAGTAGAAGCTAAGAATGTCAAAATGTTTCTAAGGACCCTTTCTTTTCTTTCCTTCTTTCCTTCCTTCCTTTCCTCCTTCTATGATAGTGGGGATTGAACCCAGGACCTTCACACTGAGTTACATCCTCAAACCTTTTTTATTTTTACTCTGGGACAGGATCTTGCTAAATTGCCAAGTTGCCTAGGTTGGGGTCAGACTTGCCATCTTCCTGCCTCAGTCTCTCAGAGTATCTAAAGAGCCTTTCTTAGTGACAGGAAGCAAGCACTTCGCATATAAAGAATACTGTTGCTTGAGTCTATGATCAGAAAATGTCTCAGCAGGAGAAAATAGAAGGCCCAACTCTAAGAGTTATATATGAGACAAGAATAGCAAAAAGAACATACCTTCAGGTTTTGGGGTCGTGTGAATTTGTTGAGAAGTGCAGCCTGAATAAGCTCCCACCGGCTCCCTGCAGTTCGCTCACCATTCTTTTAGGAAAAAGAAAAACATGATCAAACTGTTCTACAGATTTCTGGGGTTTTTTTGGGTACCAGGTATCAAACTCAGGACCTTGTGCTTGTGAGGCGGGTGGCGTGCCACTGAGCTAAATCCCTGGCCCTAAAAGGGTCAGTGGATCATCACCCCCCCACCCCCACTTGGGATCAAACTTTGGACCTTGTGCTTGCCAGGCAGGCGCGGTCCCATTGAGCTACACCCCCAGCCCCAAACCATTCTAAATTAGTCTCTATCACAGAATCAGAAGTCAAAAGTGTACTACATCAAGTTTCAAGGACTAGAAAACCTCAGATTTGTTCTTACCTCGTCTTCCACAGGGTACAAGTTTTGTTCAGAGCAAGGCATTTTGACATGCTTGTTATCCCACAGATCTTTGTAATGTGTAGGAAAAGGCTTAGGAACTTCTCCTGCTCGCAAAAGATCTATCTGAAATAAAGGGTAAATAGAAAAATTATAAGTGCATAAAAACTTTGTGTTTCTTCTATAAAATAATCTGAAGAAAGGAGCCAAGTAGATGCTGTAAAATGGAATTCGGCTCCCAAGCAAGGCACCTCAGGAGTCTTCTTTAGCTGCTGCTGCTATTCCTCACGTCCTCTCAGTTTCCAAATAGCCATGTCCTGCTCATTTCTATCCTTCTAGTTGCTGGGCCCTCACATTCTGTACTTGAGTTTCTGCTGACAGTTGACAGTCTCCTATCTATTTCCCTAACTCCACATGTTCCCAGACATGTTCACTGCCCATAAAACCCTTATCCCCACTTTGGGATTTATCTCTTAAAAGTATTCTTAGTCCCATCATTCTGTAATGCCTACGCTCTGATTCCTAATGTCATTCTGTTTTGCATATGTCTTAATCATTTTTTTGACACTGGGACAAAATACCTGACACTCAAATCTTTTATTTTGGCTCATGATTTTATTGGATTGTTGTCTGGCTCCAAGACAGAAAGGACACTGCACAGGGGCAGAACGGAGGAAAGCCACTTCCTGCACGGCTCCCAGGAAGCAGAGAGCACCAAAAGGAGCCAGGGAAGGATATACCCTTCTTGGTCATGCCCTCAGTGACCCACCTCCAAACAGACTCACTCAACAGCAAGCTATAATCCAATCACCTTCCATCACATGAGACATGAGGGGACATTTGAGATATAAACCATAACACATACTCTTACTCAAACTATTCATTTCAGACAAGCAACATTTATTTCCTTAAACATAGCAGATTTACTTTCATATCTATATGCTTATGTATATACTACTATCTTTTCCTTTTTAATGCAAGTAATACCAATTACCACCTCCCCACTTAATCTGGTTAAACCTCTGCTCTCACTTTAAGAGCTGAGCTAAATTTTTATTTCCACTATGAAATCTTTTAGAAACTTTATTAATAATCATTATCATAATGGAGCACACCTCCCTCACAAGACCCACTTTTCTTGGTCTTTTTCGGTACCAGGGATCGAACTCGGGACCGAACCACTGAGCTAAATCCCCAGCCCATGACCCAGTTTTCTTCCTGGTAATAAGCACATTAATTTTGTATCAGAATACTGTATTTAAGGCAGCACCTGGAATATATTTACATATGTACATAAATATACACATATATGCAAACATATGCACAGCTACTATAGTAATCATTAAGTAAATGTTTGAGAATGGAGATATTTTAAACAATACAAGTTTTATTTTGCCTATTTCAGATATTTCATGCAAATGGAATCACCCAATATTTGGCTTTTGTGTGTAGGCCATTCACATAGTATTTTCAAGGTTTCTCCATGAGGTAGTACATATCGGCATTTCACTGCAGGGAATTAATCACATGAATATAAAAATAGCAGTATGGCATAAATGAGAGGTTTATAGTGCTATAAGAATCTGTTCTAGACAGATTTAACTTATCTGGTGAGTTAGGGAGGGCTTCCTTGAGAAAGCAACAATTGAGCTGAGCTCTAAAGGATAAAAACAAGCAAACTAGGAAAAGCAGAAAAGATTTTTGCTGCTATAGCTTGGATCTCAAGTATCCCCAAAGGCTCATGTGTTAAAGGCTTGACCCTCTCTCAGGTGCTACTGGGAGGCAATGAAACCTTTAGGGGGTAGGGCCCAGGTCACTAGGGCTGAACTGAATGCTATATTGAGGCCCTGGATGCTTCCTCTCTGTTTCTGGGCTGACATGAGGTGAACAGACCTCCTCAACCATGTGCTTCTGTCTTCATGTACTGTGGAGCCACAGGCCCACAGCAATGGGCCAAACAACCTTAGAATAAAACCTCTGAAACCATAAGCCAAAATAAATGTTCCTCAGATCCGGGGATTTAGCTCAATGGTTCTGCCACTTGCCTCGCAAGCTCAAGGTCCAGAGTTTGATCCCCAGTACCAAAAGAAACCAAGAATGTTCCTCTTGGTAAGCTGATTATCTCAGGTATTTTGTCACAGTGACAGAAAGCTAACTAAAAGAAAAACTTGGTACCAAGTAGAGTCATTTGCTATCACTATACATGACCATGTGGTTCAGAAGTCTTTAGAATTGCTTTGCAGCAGGAACTTGGAGAATTATGAAGAAGTGGGCTACAGAATGTCTAGAGCTTAATGGGTAAATCTGATGGGGATGGGCACTGTAAGGCTGACAGGAATACAGACAATAAGGCTGTGCTGATGATGTGTCAGATGGAAATAAGGACTCAGCTGAGAACTGGAGAGGTCACTCATGCTACATTCTGACAAAGATCAGGTCTACACTTTTTCCATGCTCTGAGATTTTCTGTGAAGCTGAGATTAAAGATGATGGACTAGTTTATCTCATGGAGGAAATTTCAAAGCAGCACAGCATTCAGGCAGTGGCATGCATATTGGTGGATGCTTTCAGCCAGATTTACAATAAGAACTGGGAGCAAAGTGGAGTAGAAGAATGTGAAAAACTTAAAATATGGCCAGAAAAGAAGTGCCTATAAAGTTATGGGCAATGAGGGTGCAGTTACAGAAGAGACTACTGCCAGTAAAAAGAAGCCAAGTACTTTGTACCTGGACAACAAGAAAGATGCCTTGTGGGTGTCTCGAGAATTGGCAAGACTTCACCCATCACAGGTTCAGAGGTATCAAATTAGCAGAAATTTGTTTTGCAGACTTTCCAGACCACAATCTTTCGAGATGAGTTTTGGGGTATTCACCTCACACTGAGCCTCCTAGGGAATTGTTTCCCTGGGATTCACTTCCCAGCATTAAGTCATTAAGGCACTCACAGCACACTGATGCCACTGTTCAAAGAGTGAAAAGGTCATAGAAGCTTCCATCTTGATTTCAAAGAAAAGCCTGGGAGATAAGACAGTATGTAGCAGGCTCAAAGTCCTTCCAAGTTTCTCTTGACCACCAATGTGTGAACCTATGAGAGTGAAGTCAAAGGTCCAAGTGGAGACTCCAGGAAGTCAGAGATACCAGGAAAGTGAACTATCTACTTGTATGGTGAGAAGGCCTCTTACTATGTCTCCCAGGCTGGTCTTGAACACCTGCACTCAAGCAATTCTCTGGCCTAAACCTCTTGAGTAGGTAGGACTATCGGTGCATGCCACCGTGCCCAGCTTAAACTGTTGGTTTGATATTTAAGGAAACTCTCCTGTTAGACAGCAATGGCCAAGAGCGATGCTCTCTGTTGATAATGGACCCAATTCACTTTTCAAGTCTTTTCTTCCACCATTCCCCACTAAATTCTAAGCTCTAACAAACCAACTGTTTTTCATTTCTAAAACAAATTGTTTTTGACACCTAACATTTTCTTCCAAGCTTATATATCTGTCTGGAATTCTCTTGCTTTACTCCTGAGTCTGAAACTTACGCTCATCTTATAGAGTTCGGTACAAACACAGCAACCCTGGTCAACATCATCGCTAAATTTTTTTTTTTTTTTTGGTACCGGGGATCAAATTCAGGTCCTTGCGCTTGTGGGGCAGGCAGCGGAACCACTGAGCTAAATCCTCAGCCCACTAAGCATGTTATATAGAACTTTGAAACATCATACTACATGGTCAAAAACTAAAAACTGTCACTCGAAAATCAGGAACAAGACAAGGATGTCCATTGTTGCTGCTCCTGTTCAATACAGTTCTGGAAACATTAGCCAGAGCAATTAGACAAAAGAAAGAAAAGATTGGAAAGGAAGTTAAATTATCATTATTTGCTAATGACGTGATATTCTACATAGAAGACTCCCCACAACTCCTAGATTTAATAACTAAATCCAGCAGCATAGCAAGATACAAAGTCAACACTCAAAAAGCAATAGCATTACTATACATGAATAATCAACTCACTGAGAGAGAAATTAAGGAAACAAAAGGAACTTTTTACAATAGCATCAATAAAAATGAAACAGGAATGAATCTAATGAAGTGAAAGACTTCTTTACATTAAAAACTACAGTATTCTGTATCAGAAAATAGAAAGATATCTCTTGTTCTTAGATAAGCAGAACCAATATAGTGAAAATGGCTATACTTCCAAAACTGTTACACAGATTTAATGCAATCCCAATCAAAATACCAATAGCATACCTCCTCACAGAAGTACAAAAAATAATTCTAAAATTCATATGAAATCAGAAGAGAACTAGAATAGCAAAAGCAATTTTGGGCAACAAGGTCAAGGCAAGGGGTATCACCAACCCTGACTTGAAGTTCATACTACAAAGCTACTGTGATAAAAACAGCATGAGACTGGCAAAAAAACCCAAACAACCGACCAATCAAACAAACAAACAAAAAAACCTCCCCAAAACAAAAAAGCAAAAAACAGACTCAAGGATCTGTGGAACAGGGTAGAAGATAGCAGAAACAACTCTAAGTACACTCAGCTACCTTATCACTGACAAGGGAGACAAAGACCTTCACTGGAAGAAATACAGCCTCTTTAATAAATGGTGCTGGGAAAACTGGCTTTCCATATGGTGAAGATTAAACCTAGACCCGTATCTCTCACCATGCACTAAACTAAAATTGAAATAGATTAAAGATCTAAATATTAAAATGGAATCACTTAATCTGTGAGGAGACAGAATTTAGGTAAAACTTGAAGACACAGGTGTGGGCAGACTTTATGAACAAAACCCTGATCGCACAGGAAATATTACAAAAAATCAACAACTAGGATCACATCAAATTAAGCACAGCCAAAGAAATCACCAACAGAGTGAAGAGACAATCCACACAGTAGGAAAATTTTTTTTGCCTCAGACAAATACTATCTAGAAATATACAAAAAACTAAAAAAAAAAAAAAAATCAGAGCCCCCCCCCCCAATTTAAAGACCCAACAAAAAATGGGGACCTGAAATGAACAGACACTTCTCAGATGAAGTACAAACAGCAAATATGAAAAATTTTCAATATTACTGGTCATTTGTGAAATGCAAATTAAAACAACACTGAAATTCCATCTCACTCCAGAAAGAACAGTTATCACAAAATCAACCAGTAACAAATGTTGGTGAGGCTGTGCGGAAAAAGGAACTCTTCTCCATGAATGGTGGGAATGTAAATTGGTATTATCACTGTGGAAATAAGTATGGAGATTCCTCAAAAAATTAAAACTAGAGTTTCCTTTTCATCCAGCTATTCCCCTTCCTGGTATCTTCCCGAAAGTGTTAAAACCATCATAGTGATATATGCATTCTCATGTTTATAGCAGCACAGTTTTGTTTTTGGGTTTTTTTCTTGGTACCAGGGATCAAATTCAGGACCTTGTGCCTGCAAGGCAGGCACAGTGGCACTGGGCTAAATCCCAGCCACAGCACAGTTTTAGAATAGCTAAATCTTGGAAACAGCCCATATACGCATCAATGGGTGAATGGATAAAGAAAATGTGGTATTTATATACAATGGAGTACTACTCTGCTAAAGAGAAGGATAAACTTGAGACATTCTTAGCTAAAAAGATCCATCCTGCAGCCATAATTTTAAGTGGAATAAACTGGACACACAAGTTTAAACATTGCATTTTTTCTCCTGTGTGAGACTCAAAGGGTGAATAAGGAGCAAAATGCAGGATATTGGAAAGGAAGAACATGTTCAAATGGGAAGGGAAGGGAAAGAAGGGAGAAGGGATTAGAAAAAAGAAAGAATGAAAGGAAAAAAATCTCAACAAAGCTTCTGCAAATGGAGAGGAGATGAAGGGTGACAGGGAGGGGAGGGGAACAGGAAAAAAGAATTATGATATATCATGTACAGGTACAAATTCTCTATGATGAATGTGATTATGTATGGCAAACATGGACTAATAAAAACTCTGAATTTCAGAAAATTTAATCATATCTAAACAGTTGTAGTACAAAAGGCATCATAAATTAATTTTTCTAAGTAGTGTTTGTAAAATCTATAGAGACTACAAATGAGATGAATATTTAAACCTGCTCAGTGAGCAATGGAAACCTTCTGAAGCTTGGCTATGTTAATGGTTATATGGTTCTTAAGTATTACCAAACTGAGCACTTACGATAAACTTTATATACCTCAGTGAAACTGATTTAAAGAAAAACAAGACCCCATCTGAAAGTAGTTACCTGGGAGTTGGAGGGCACAGGGCCTCAGGTGCTATTGCCTAACAGATACAGAGTTTCTGTTTGGAAAGATAAAACACTTTGGAAATGGACAGTGGATAATGGTTGCACAACGCTGTGAACATTTTTTAATGCTGCTGAATTGTATGCTTTAAAATGATTAAAATGTTAAGTTTTATGCTATGTATATTTTACTACAAATTTTAAAATGCAAAATTGGTTTAAGACATATGGAGTTTGAGATACCTGCGAGGTAGTGATACAAATGCATAGAAGAATCTGAAGCTCAGAAAAATGGACAAAACTGGAAAATGTACTGAACCATACAGAATTTTGTTTGCAGGGTTAATCTAGTAGCTAACATGTAGTGGGTACTCAATAAATACTACCAACTGAAATTTTTTTTTTAAATTTTGGTATTGTGGATTGAACCCAGGGCCTTTGCACTGGGCTATATCCCCATCCCTATTTTTAAAAATTTTCTTTAAAACCTTTTGAAGATGAGGACTTGTCAAGTCAATAAATAAGTTGTCCATGGTGGGCTTGATCTTTCTGTGTCAGCCTCCCAGAGTGGTGGGATTAGATGTGTACTACCATGCCAGCTTGTCAAATGAATCAAAAGGGGTGGGGTGGGGGGGAAGAACTCAATGAGGTTTCTTAAAAATACTGAAAAATTCAATTCCATTATTAGCTGACAATGATTCATCTCACTGATTTGTTAAGGGCCACATTATGTAAGCAATCATTTATCTCTCTGTGCTGTACACTTCTGAGTACTATATATATGCAGAAAAGAAAACCTGCTATGCCTTGGTCTGCTTTTCACATTAATAAATAAATCAGGATCTTCAGTCTTCTCTGCTCCTGGGCAAGAGGTGATACCTACCCGAATAGTCACTGTGTGATTGGCAGACGGTCTCAAGAGAGGCAGCCGGCTCCCACACCAAGGCATCCTTCGCATCTCCTCAAGAGGAGTTCCCAGCCACTTCTTATCTGGAGAAAGGTGAGGTGGAACGTATTTAGGCATCTTCCTTTCTGTTCTTTGATGTCTGATTTCACACTGTTCTTTTCTAAGGTCAAGATAAATGTATTCAGTCACGAATTTATTGCTTCAGTTCACCTGGACACACAAGTACAAAACAACCCAGAATGTTCCTAAAGTATGCCAACCTTGCTCCCTCATTTATTTTATATTTATAATCAACAGGAAAAGTTATAAAGCTTGTAATAAAACCCAAGAGCTCATTTTCAGTAGTCTGTGGAGGGAATTTCCAAGTACATGTAAATCACCTCCTGAAAACAGAAATGAGTCATGGGTCATGGTCTACATCTAGATGTCCCCCAAGAGCCTCATGTGCTGGGGAGGGGGGCACTTTTGGAAGGTGACTGAATTATGGGTGTGGTACAGTTGACTTGCTGTTAGGAGGCAAGTCACTAGGGTATGACTGGAAGAGTGGACCTTCCTCTCAGTTCTGTCCCTCTGCTCCCTACCACCATGACATGAGCAGGCCCTTCTACCATGCCATTTTCTGCATTTGAGCCTGCCACACATAGGGCTGAAACTTCTGAAACCTGAGCCAAAATAAACCTCTCCTACTTTATGCTGTGGGTGTCAGGTACTGTCATAACAATGAAAAGGTAACTAAGACACTATGGTTCATAGTATCACCTACTTTTCAGGTCTCAGCACTGTAATTTTCAATGAAATGAACTTAGAATCACATGCTAGAAAAATGAGATGAAAGAGATTATCAAGTGGGCTTTAAGATTCTGTATGAGGTAATGGCAAAAATATAAGCTTTAGGGCCAGGGATTTAGCTCAGTAGTTCCGCTGCTTGCCTCGCAAGCACAAGGTCCTGAGTTCGATCCCTGGTACCCCCTGCTACTGCTGCAAAAAATATATATATACAGATATACATTGCATTAAATATCAGTATTGGCAGACACAAGATACATGATTTCAATGAATTTTCTAATTCAAATTTCAGTTTCTCATTTATAAAATAAGTATAATACCACCTGTCTACCTGTTAAGAGAATGAGATAAAGTGTAATATACACTCATTCAGGAAATGGCCAAACAGTAGCTACTATGAAGCTAATATTTTCATGTTCTGGAATTATCCATAAATTCTAAAAGGAAGTTCATGAAACTAAAGGTTTGATTGCCCCAAAAAAAAGATCTGATTGCTAATATTCATTACTCCTTATTTTGTGTTTCTGGACTTTTGAGAATTTAAACTTTGGTGGATAGGCTTAAATTTGTGTTAATAGGAAGTCAATATATTTTACTATAAGTCTTAACTTTGTTAAGCCTCCTGTATACAATTTTAAAATGTATTATGCTCCCGAAGAGATACTCCTGAAGGGACAAGATTACCTTCTGTCCTCTGCTTTAGGCATTCTCATGAAGTGGTCAGTGATCTTGGAGTCCCTTTTTCCATGCTGCTTGGAATTTCTGCATTCTACATTAAGCATAGAAGTACTTCCAGGTGGTCTGGCATTTAAATCACTCACCCCAGTGCTACTCTCCCCTCCTTCAAATTGAAAATGTAATCTAATTTCACCTCCTTTAGCAGAGCACTGCTTCTTAAGTTCACTGTCAGCTTCTTTTGCTTGCAACCTTGAAGGTTTGTTGATTACTTGGGAGGAACTACCATCTTCTTGTTCATCAAAACCTGGACTTGTCTCTTCATCTGCTTCTGAATCTTGACAACTATTTTTGGAATTATCTACATCCATCGGTGATTCAGGTTCACTTTCCTTCGCAAATGGGGAATTTCCTAGGCTATTTTCTTGTCTCCTCAATTTGCTGTCATTTTTCGATTCAGTTCCAACATCCTCAGAGCCAACATCTGACGAGGGACTCTCTGGTACCACGTCTATCTCCTCCTGCTGACAACCTGCACAGTTTTCCCCAGAGAGGCAGGATGTGCAGTCCTTCTGCTGGCTTCTGGCTTCTCTGGCTTGATCATCTGTTGTCTGCTTCACATTCGCAAGCTTTATGGGTGTCAGGAATTGTTGATTATCTCTGCTTTCTTTGCTGTCAGTGTCACTGTGACAATCAGTGTGGGAGGACTGCTCAATGTTAGCATTACTGAACTGCTCTGGCACCAGAGTCACTGTCGCAGGTTCGCTTTCTAAAAGCTGCTCTGTATGTTTTCCTTCTTTCTGCCACTTACACATCACTGTAGTCTGATGCTGGTTCAAATACTGTGTCCTTTTCTCAACAGGTGATTTATCAAGACTTAGTTGAGAAACACTTTCTAATTTTTCCACATTATGTTGGTAAAAATTATCTTTCTGTATAGAACTCATCATGGATTCTATTCTTGTATTATTGTTTTCTTTACTAACCAAACTGCAAGAGAAAAGAAAGAAAATCAACTTATGATAAATAAAATGTCACTTAATGGATGACACCTCCACAAATAACACAGCAATTATACTCTTTGTCGTTACCTGAGCACACAGTGTGCTCTTCCCTTATTCCTTGTCTTTGCACATGACCTTCCCCAGTTGTGTACCTGGAAATCATCTGCTTTTCCTTCAACTCTAAAGCTTTACTCACTTCCTTATGGGCTTTCCTCAGGCCCAAAAGCAAAGTTCACCTTTTTGTTCTTCTACATACATGCTAACCACCAGTCATACCTTTACTACCTCATCCCTTTACTGCAGTATTTATCACACCAGGCAGTAATTGTATGTCTCTGTGTGTTTAAGCACTATTACAGTGCAAGTAGCTTAAAGTCAGGGCTACTTCTCTTTCATCTCTGTACCTGAAGCATAAAGCAGGGTCTCTGCTCATAGGAGACTCTAAAAAGTATTTAAATTGAAAATGAACAAATATAGATGAAGAAAAATAAAAAAGCAAGACAAAATAGACAAAATACCCCAAAGCAAGATAAAGCAACCCCTCCTTAGGTTGTTTCTTTGTATATGTACGTCTCTATACCTTTCTGATTCGGTTGTCTTGATTTCCTTGGTGTCCATCCAACTGGTAATAGTCTTTTGCTTGAAAACTATAAAAAAAAATTAATGTATATAAATAACATTCCTTCACCTAGAAAACACACAGTCATATAATACATATAAGGCATTTTGTCAATTTCTGTGCATTAAATGTGGATTAATTACTCCTTCCACCCTCAAGTACTGAGAGAAGACAAGAATAAAAATACTAATTTGGATGGAATCAGAACATATAGATTCAAGTCCACTGCTTCTTTTTAAAATTTTTTTGGAGTCAATGTCCTGCTAGATAGTTCAGGCTGTCCTGGAACTTGCAGTGATCCTCCTGCCTCAGCTTCCCAAGTGTTGGGATTACAGGTGTGCACTACCATCCTGGCCAAATCTATAGCTTCTTATGTGACTTTGAGAAGGGTCACTTCTATTTGTTTCAGATTCCCTATCTGGAACATATGAAAATTAACAGTACTTCCTAAGGCGCTAACATGAGGTTTAGAATAAATAATGATCTATGTAAAATGTTTAGGACACAATCTAAGATATGCTTGCTACTGTAAATGTTAGTTCGGAATTATCTTTATTATTAAAAGAGGTCCTATTAAGAAACTCAGGTATTTTCAGGGAAAACACTACTTTAAAACATAAGAGTACGTGAGGATACTTGATAAGATTTCTTGGAAAATGCAGTGCTTAAATTGTGCCTTAAGGAATCTGTAGTCACATACAGGGAAAATCATAAACAAAGGCACCAATGGCCGAGAAATGTAAAGAACTTTGAAAGAAAACAACAGGAAATATAGTTGAAAAGTCAGTCAGGACCATATCACCGAAGACCTTGAATAAACCATGAAGACGTACATGTCACATGGAGAGCAGTGATGCCAGAATTCAATTTAGGAAGCTCACAGCCATGCATGACAGATGGCTTGGAGAACAAATATGTAGGCAAGGAGTCAAAGCCTACAGGTAAAAGCCAATGAGAAAGCTACTGGTCTCAAACTATCTAGGTCATCAGGAGGCTAGCAAAAAATGGAGATCAGGACCTACTGAATCAGAATCTGTATGACATGAGGGGGGATTCATATTTGTTTCAAAAAGTGATTTAAATAATGAACTAAATTGAAAAGCTACTGGCCAAGGACCAAACAAATCCTTTTGAGAGCAGTAAAATTAAGAAGACTCCTTATAGACTTCATGATGACAGGCAAAGTTAAAGGTGATACTAAGCTTTAAAATTTGACAGACTTGAAAGATCGAGGTAGCATTAAATAGAAATATAGAATTGGATGTAGGGAAAAATATGATTAGGTCAATTCTGCACATAATAAATTTGCAATGCCAAAGAGATAACTAGAAAGAAATGATCAACACTCAGTAGTAAAAGGAGAACTCATTAGTTCAGGAGTGGGAGATGCAATATAAATGCAAGTTATTTTATATAATCATTAGAAATAAGAGTTGTCAATTTAATATACTGGGCATGGATTAAATGTATATAGCATTTGACTATAAAAAACAAAATTTTAAAGCATTCTGTACCACTCTCTGAATTGCAATCCAAGAACCTAGGCACCTTAAGTCAGACTCATATCTGTCTGTGTGTCCTCAAATGCCATAATATGAGCAGAACAGTTGCAGGCTCAAACCATGAAATTAACAGTTTATCTATTACTGAGATAATGGCACAAGTGAAAAGGATTTCAGATTTGGAGAGAATTTTATATTCAAATAGACTACTTGGGTGTTATAAAATTTATACTTTCTACAAAAGTATTTAAGTGCCATATAACATACTTTCCACAGTACGCTAATAGACCAACTAGAAAAGTCTTTGAGTGGTATTCTTTAAATTGTTTCAATCACAAGAAATAATTATGTACAGATGACATTTCTCATTGTTCAGTACCACTAATTTAGTGATTTGATTTCGTATTTCTATAGCAAATCAGCCTTCAATGAAAAAAACTACCCAGTTAGCAGGGACTAGGAGGATAAAACATTTGATTCGGAGACTTTTCCTACAGTTCCATTTTTCCCATTTAATTTCATTCTATAGGTTGAGCATCTGACATGAAAATCCAAAATGCTGTGAAATCCAAAACTTTTTGAGCACTGGCACTGATTTTGGAGCATTTCACATTTTCAGATTAAGGATGCTCAATAGATAAAGTCTGTGCAAGTAATCAAAATCTGAAAAACTCTGAAATCTGAGCCACTAGTGTTTTAGATAAGGGACATTCAACCTATACCGAACATAGCTAACCTAATCCAGAAAATCCCCAAATCACAAACCAGCAATGCACCCAAACACTCATTTTCTGAGTCAGTTTAGACTTAAAACATCTTTTCCCACAAGGACTAACAGTCAGGATGCAATAGCTAGGTTTCTCTAATACACATGAAGCACAGCTCTTCAAAGCTAAGTCCATAGAACTTAACATCTATATGTCTGATTTCATGAATAACCACGAAGTGTGTCCAGTGAAGGTGAAGGTTCCTTCCTGTAGTCCTGACATGAAGAACATGTTCACTCTTGGGCTATAGGCTGCTGATTATGATCCCTGAAGTCCTAGAACAGGATGAAGGAGAGGAAAGGCAAAAGGGGAGGAACCAATATTTCCTGTTAATCAAACATTCCTCAGTTCTTGTTTGGGCCCCAGAGAAAGGACTGACCTACTTCTTTTTCCTGTACCACTACTTTAGGTTTCCAAAGGTTTATTTCCAACACATCACAAGATTGTTCCAGGGCTTTAGCCTTCTTACTCCTGAAGAAAGCATAAAATGATGCTTTCCAGGCTTCTAAGGACTTTAACTAGAAATACTGACAGGAAACAAAGGGAGGTAATAAGAAATAATGAAAACAATACATGATGTAGAGTCAAACAACCCTGCAGCAAGACCTTTGCTTAGTCACTGGCACCACCTTTGTAAAGTTACTTCACTTTTGTGAGCCCGTTTCCTCACCTAGAAAATAGGGTTAATAACGTGCACTTCCAAGGGTTATATGGATCAGTTAAGAATATAAAAATGAGAGAAAATATTAAGTGGTCAGTCTCATAAAGCAGACACTCAACAAATATTTCAACACTTCTATCTAATCTTTTTTCTCTGAGATCAGTAGTTCTCCAACTTTACTCTGACTTCTTACCATTCACACTCAATAACTAGTCATCACTCAATAACCAGTGTATTTCAATAAGACTATTCAGCTAGGAAATAGAGATACAGGCAAAAGGCACAAAACATAGTAAAACTGCCCACATTTCCAAGGAATACCTTACTTTCACAAAGTCCCTATAGCAATATAATTGGGCAAATCATTCCCCATCAGAATGCCAACAGCATCCTGAGTTCTGCCTACTACATGCACATTTCAGTCAATGTAAGAAATGTGCCCAGGAAGACAAATAATACAAAATGTAAGGATACTAAATACCTATTTTCCTACTCCATCCACTTCTTCTGGGATAACTATATTTAAAAATTTTAAACACTAAGTTTCTAAAAGAATTCTAACACTTGAAACAATTTAGACTTTGAACATTATGTAATTGGTGTCCTGGGCCACGTATACAGAAACCATTACATATATGAAATGTTCATTTGGTTCTTCTGCAGAAAATTCAAGACCAACCAATGAGGAGTGACTGCCCTAACCCTTGCCAGCAAATAACTTCTGTACATATACTATTCCATACACCTGATAAAATTTATAATGTAGGTTTGTAGTCAAAAAACTTTGAAAGCTACTGCTTCAGCCATTTATAGTATTAACCAAATGCCATTCCTTGGTTTAAAAGCCTTTTCTGTAGCCCCTCCCCATTAGTTGCAGAATAAAGTTTAACCACCTTATATGACACTTGAATTTTCCCACAAATAAGCTCACCTTACCATCCTGCCATCCTATGTTTCAATTTCACCAACTTTCTGGTGTGCTATTCCCTCTGCTGACATGATTCTCTCTCCTTATTTATACAGCAAATCCTGCTCATCTGTCAAGACTTAGTTCAAAGGAAGGAAGGGACAAGTAAAAAAAGTGAAAATAGGAGGAAAAAAATGGAAACAAAGCTTCTGTACATAGGGAGAGGAGGGGATAAAATAAAATTAAAAAAAAAAAGACTTATTTCAAGTCTACTTGCCATTGCCTGTAAGTCCTAAGACACCAAAGAGTACATCATTTAGGAGAACTGAAAGACCTCTAATGGGCCTTTTCCACCACAAGTTAGACTTGCCTTATACTTTTCTGGCCATTTCTCCTCAGTCTACCTTCAAATGGTGTTTGTAAGGTTTCTGTCCTCTGTTCCTTTTACTTTCTCTATAAACTTAAATGATCCAGATTACACCCATACCTTCCATTATTATGTTAATCCCAAGAACTCAATTTCTCAGGCACAGATTTTTTCTGAAGTTCTAGTACGTCCTACAATCTCTCTTGAATCCACCCACTTCTCCCTTTTCCTACTGTCCACATTCAAAGATGAGCCAAAATTATCTCCCACCCAGACCTAGTCTTTAACTAGTAGTGGGCCTCCGCTTGCTTTCAATCCATTTTTCATTTCGCACATAATAACTATAGGGTTTTAACGAGCCAAAAAATTCTTTAATGGCTTCTTGCTCTTAAAAGTCCAACAATCTCTTAGCAGTACCTATATATCCCAGTTCAGTCTGAGCTAATTTTTCTCTGCTTCCCTGCAGTTTCATGTCTCACTATTCTGTTTACTCTATGGACCAGTTGCGTTTCTGAAAACTTCCTTACTTCCTCTTCATCCAAGTGACTCCTATACATCCTTTGGTCCCCAGAACAAGCATTGTGTCTTAGGGAGGACTACCTATGATCCCTACTAGGTCAAGGACACCTGAGTCCTACACGGACAGTCTGTGCCTCACCTATCAGAACATCCATCCATAACCCTCTGTTGCATATATTGCCTTGTGTTTTTGTCGATGTCTCCTAACAGACTTTAGGATATGAAGGTAGAGACCGAGTTCTTCGTGTTCAACCCGTAAGCCAGGGACAAGTACAATGCTAGTCAGGACTAATATCACTGCACTCTGGGACCCAGAATCGAAGTGAAGTTGCAACAGCTTTCTTTCCATCCTCTGCCTCGAGGCTGCAGCGCCCTACTGCTTCACACACACCAGCAGCAGATCTCCGTGACTAAGGCACTTTCTTCATCAAACCAGAAGAAAGAAAACAGGTGGAGTCTCCAGCCACTTTCCACCTTGAGAGTAAATGCTCCTCAGGTTTCTCACTCCACCAGCCGCACTAGGCAAAACGCAGTCCCAGCCCCCCATCAGCAGCCCTGGTGGTTCAGCAAGGGGACCAAGACGAAGGACAAAGCTTCTTAGTTCCCCACGTACCAAGCGTGGTGGCGCCGCCTTGGTGCGGTCCCGCCCGCCCTGGGACAAAGCCTGGAGAGGACGGCGGGACTCTGAACTGCACGGGAGCGTCCTTGGGGTTGAAGACGCGCCTCTGCCTGCCGGGGAAGCTTCGGGAGTCCGAGGCCGCCGGCGAAGTTGCAGCAGTGCCCCACCGGGGTCGTTTGGTGCAGGGCTCACAGCCGGGGCCCGTACTCATGCTGGGACCCGCAGCGCAAGGTCCCCGGGCCGGCCCGGGCGGAGCACCTCATTCACTAACCCTGAGGGGCAGGGACTGCGCCTCCTTTTCAGCGCGTCCCTGCACCATTCCCTCTCTGCCGCTGCCTGACTCTGCAGCTGCTGATTCACCGGGCTCCGAGTCAGGGCCTCTGCTGTCGCTGGCCTACCCTCTTCTGCAAGTAGGCGACCTGCCTCAGAACGCGCCGCTTGGATGAGGGATGCCTTCACTTTCCCACCACCAGAAAGCTGCCATCAGGCGCTCGACTTCCGGAAGCACGTTGTCGCAAAGCGGAAGTGCAACGCGTTACGCCCACCGGCGCCCGGAAGGTCAGCGTGTGAAGGAGGCAGTAGTAACGCGGGATTCCCCGCTGCTGCCTCGGTGCAACGGCGGAGCTCTCGACCCCGGCCTGAGGCGGCGGGGGGAAGCGGACGTCGGTTTGGTGTGACACCATGGAGGGCGGCGGGGGCAGTGGCAACAAAACCACGGGGGGCTTGGCCGGCTTTTTTGGGGCCGGCGGAACTGGTTACTCGCACGCGGATTTGGCCGGCGTGCCGCGTAAGTATCGGGCCTCGCGTGCGAGCATCTCTCACGGCTTCCTGTGACTGCACCAGACATGTGGCGTCCCGTTCTTTTTCTTGCTGGTGTTCACAAGCGTCAGCGCTAATGGTGGGGTTAATATGTCTGCAAGACTGCTTTTTCAAGGTTAAACGAGTCTGGGAGGAGCGGTACAGATCCCTAGGACGCTCTTTGTGATTGACCTGAGGTGGGAAGATGATGCATGTTTTTCTTCGTTTATATCCAGGCCTCCATTTTTCGCTCTCTTCACGCTCAATCCTGTATGTTGAGCAATGTGCTTGACCCTAGATTAAGACAAACCTGGTTCTGGAAGTAAACATATTCCGTATTCCAAATAGGAACCACAAGGTGCAAATTTTAATTTCAAAGCAGCTATTAGGGCAAGTCACTCAGTAATAATGAGTATAGATGTGGAATAAATAGGAATTGGGACAATCCAAGAAACCATTTGGAGGGAGATGGAAAGTGAAGTGAGCTTTAAAGGTAGTTTATAGACAAGAAGGAATGCAGGTAAGAATTACAGGAGGAGGAGAAATACGTAAGATGGAAGATGCAGAGGCATGAATAGCTTCCTCAGTCTTATGAATGTAGTTAACTATGGGTATCCAACAGGAAAAATAGAATTTGGATATAAAGATGCTACAAAATTGGTGGTGGATAAGCCTTTAAAAAAGATTTTTCTTTTTGAAAATTCTAGTAATATTTTCCTACTTTTATACTCAAGAACCCAAAGAAAGCTTTTTTGTATCTCTGTTGTCCACATGTGACAAAACCGAGTGTAGAAACACAATTTATATGTGTCTTAGGACTTCTGAGATTCATATCACAGTGGGCTCTATCTTAACGTTGCAAAACACTGTTACATTAATTTGGTTAAGATTTGAAGGTAAACTGTGGGACCAGAGAATGAACACCATTTGTTAAGCCACTGCAATCTGCCAACTACTTTTCTGATGCAGGACTGCAGTGGCTTAAAAAAAAAACCAGTTCCTGTGTGAAGTATACATACTACTGACAAGCGAAATAACTTAAGCATTGTGGTTAGTGATAAATTATGTAAAGGAAATAAAACAGTCATGAGATGGTGATGGAAAGAGAAGGACCTTTTAGAATGGGTCAGAGTTGACATTTGAGCTGTGACCAGGATATTGTGCAAATGGTTGAGAGGCAAGTGTCCAAGAAAATGGCTAGTTCAAATGTCCTGAAACAACAAATTTGGCATATACTGTGAGAAACTGCTATTAGGTCAGTGTGTCTTTAGAGTTGCAAGGGAGTTGTAGTGATAGAAGATAATGAAAACAGAGGAGCTGGAAATGGCACCTAATCACAGCTTTTGTAGGGAAGGATAAAGAGTTTGGATTTGATTACAAGTGTAGAGGGGAACATTTAGGGCTTATTTCCTTTTTTTGTTCGTTTGTGTTTGGTACTGGGAATTGAACTCAGGACCTTGAGTTTGAGAGGCAAGTGGTGGCACCACTGAGCCAGCTCCCCGGCCCAGGACTTCCTTTTAAGGTGATTCTAATTGTAAAAAGGGTAAATTGAAGCGGCAAGAGGATGTACGTTAGATAGAAAATTGTTCCTGTGAAACTTGATGCTTGGAGTAGGATGCTAAAATAGAGTTGATAGGTAACAATTCAGAGTAGATATTAAAAACAGGACTAACAAGACTTTCATTTGATAAAATAATCAGTCATGGTCAGTGCATAGATTTGTAAGCAATAGCTGAGACACATAAGATCCAAAGAATAAACTTAAAATTTGGGAAAACTTTCTTTCCTTCATAGTTTTTTCCCTGTCTTCACAGTTAGTGGATTTCAAGTCTGGCCCTCTGAAAGTCTGCGTTTTCTTTTGCCCTGACCTCCCTCCATATGGTAAAACCAACAATTCTCTAACTTGTCAGAATAAATCATCCCTGTCAGCATTAAGATCTGAAGGAACTGTCCTGGAATGTTTATCCACAATTAGAAACCAAACTCAACCTCTCCTTTCCCATGGGATGGATTTATTCATCTTTTGCTGAATAATATTGGTTAGATATTCTTTTAGTAAAGAAAAAGAAGCTAAATTTATAAATGGCCTGCTTCTTGATAGTTTGATAATTTGATCTGCTACTGCTAGTACTTTAGTGGCATAAGCACCTAAGCCACTAGTGCAAGACTGATTTGAGATTGAGGGACCTCAGGAGGAAGGAGCCCCTAAACTGACTGGAAAGGTAAAATGGGAAAAAAAATTTCACATTCAGTGGCCTGTAAATCAATTGCAAAGCATGTGTAATATTCGAATTACCTTCATATGAAATAACTTTAAATAATTTTGTTCCAATATGACATTTTGCTTTTTCTCTAGTAACTGGTATGAACCCCCTGTCTCCTTATTTAAATGTGGATCCACGATATCTCGTGCAGGTAAGACTAAGATTTGGTGCTTTATTTTATCCTGAAAAGAAGTAAAGTTCAACTACTTAATGTTGACTTGAACTTCTGGATGCACTAAGTCTGCATTCATTCTTTTTTTTTCCCCTTACAAGCGCTGGGGACCAGCTTGCATCTTCCACTGTTTAACTCTCTTCAAAAGTCTTTTCAAACCATCAAGGAATTAATGAAAAGTACCCCTGTGAAAATATAGTTTGTTTTTAAAGCTGAGTTTACTAGACTAAATGTCAAAAGGGTAGTGGCCTAAATGTCAAAGTTTCCAAGATTACTGGTTGAATATCTCAGGAAAGCAAGGTTGACTTCTAAAAATCAAAGTACTATGATATATCAATATATAACAAAGTAGTAAAAGAAAGAATAGAGCACACAAAATAATTCCCTCAGTAGATATAGAAAA